ACTGAAAAAGACAGAGGGTTGTCCGAGTGAGTGCGCATGGGCTTTGTCATTTCATACCTTCAAAATATTCCGCTTCCTGCCAATAGGCATTTTTCAATATGATTAATTATCGGAATGCAAACTGCCTGACAAACCTTAACCTTTAACTTTAAACCCTAACCCTAAACTAAACCCTAACAGTGACGGGCCGGGCTCTCCAGATGATGCACTGAGCCACGGCGGGCGATGCTGCTAGCGCCGCAGCGACTGAGCGCCAGATTAAGTTTTCTGGAAAGTAGGCCGAAAGGATCGGAGCCTCGCTCATGTCTCGGCCGAAATCCCAAGAGTTGGCGCTTTCACGGTCTGCCGCTTCGCTCTTAGTGCAAGCCAAGTCAGTGAGGAACAGTTCTGAGACTGGAAAGTCGGCGCTACATTTTGGACTCATACTACTTGCATTGCCAAACAGAAGGGGGAGAGATCTGGGACCGGGGAGGGGGGCTTCGAGCCTTGGGCCGGATGTTATGGGTGGTGGGCTGGCCTTCCTTTGCTCTCACCTCCGATAGATATAATATCCCCAATACTCCCTCTGCTCCGATGCTGTATGATACTTTTTTCCGCTGTTTTTGGGATTCAGATTCCGTGGCGAGTTATTTGATTTTTATTCCTTGATACTAAGAGCATGGAATAATACAACAGTAATTGTTCAATAATAAAGTACACTGTCATCAGAATACTAGGTAACAAGTAACAATGACCAGACTTTCGCAATCAGCCTCAGCATAAAAGCCCTAATAGCCCTGAGTAAAGACCCTTGAAGTTTGACGCAATGTTGAGTTTGGCCCAACGTCGGGAAAATCAGCCCTTAAAGGCCCTAAGACCTGAAAACCCTTAAAAGCATAACTGGCTCGAACTCTGGCTCAAGCGCGACGACGATTGCGGTAAATGACATCCGCTTTCAAGCAACTTTGATTGGCTGGGTTCGGATTCGATTCTGCTGTTGAACCCGACACGTACCGTATCAGCTCCTAGGCGGCATCCTGCACATAGGAGACCGGGCCCACACTGGCCATTACCGCGTGTTCGAGATACGAGATGTCTCCAAAGTGCATGATCAGCTAGCCCCTGATGATCTGCTGATGCACGATGACAATGTACAGCCTGTCGTAGCCACTAGGGCAAACCTGGTGCAGATACAGCACGATGCCTATGTGCTTCTGTTTAGGAAGATCTAGTTGCATAGACGGCGCCACGGCGCTCTGTACTTAACTCGAAGAAGTGTGCAGTGCTTCGGCACCACACTCTCTCCTGGCGAATATGTTTCTGAAAGGGACCGCCCGCTAGACACGAGACCCTTCGTGCAGCGATTAAAATGAAAAAAAGATGCGCCCTCCCGCGGTGTGTACGAGCTGGAATGTTCGGCAGGTGTTCTCTCGGAGACTTTGCAGTGTGCTCTGGAGAGCTAACCACGTTCTTCAGGGGCGGGCCAACGTGGGCGCTCGTTCACCCCAGTCTTTGAAAAAGAGTCGCGCCTCTGTATGCTCTCATATGAAAGATATTTGAGTGATGAAGGTTTTTCTATATTCTGAAAGATATTGGATTATGTTGTTTCACATATTCTGTTTCACACAGTCACAGGTTCCCGGTGTTTTGCGCAAAGGGAAAATAAGGGCACGCTACCTTTGGGATCGTCGGGCCGCCAAGATGTGGGCTACCCTTGCCGCGCAGCAAAGAAGTCTTCAACTCCAAACATGCATATAACTTAGTCTTGGGATGTCTTGGTGAACATGGCATTGCTAGCTTCGCCTATAATAACTCTCCTCTTTGCATGCTTCGCCTTCCTTACCCCCCACCGGAAACGCCATGCGCTTGCTGCTGGCAGGCTGCGGCACAAGCGCAAGACGACAGCGACCAACTGCTGGCATGGCGACTAATCCTGCAAGGATTGCGCCGCGATGCCTGCTGCCGCACCAATCGGGTCTTGCACTCTCCGTCATTCGTCATGGACAAATCAGCTCCAAGACGTGCTATGTTTTGGACAGGAGCTGGCTCGTGAACGAGCAGAGCGTGCGGAGATGCGATGCCACGATGTGTTTCGGAAATGAAACCATCCTAGGCGTATGCTAGCGCGTTCCCAAGGGAACGATGTAACCGCAAGTTTAGCCATGGTTTCTCGAACAAAGACCCGTTATGCATCGTTACACGACCCTTTCTATTGGTCAAGACCTCCGACGTGGCAACATGGCATGTAGCACTGCGTTGCTTCTGTGCTAAACGACCGCTGAACAGGTTGTGCGACATGTGCGGCATGCTGGCGAAGTTGCTTATGCTGTTCCTCGTGCTGACGGCTTTAGCGGGCAATGCGAAAGCAGTCCTCCTGCCGCGTTTGCCGGGCCTATTGTTGTAGCCTTTATGTTTTTGCTTCTGTGGCCTTGCTTTTTCCGCGTCCTTGCTATGAACGTTGACATGAGTATTGGCATGAATATGTCAATATATTCATGAGTAAATGTATACTAATATGTGAATATTTGTATATTAATATATCAATATATATATATATATGCTACCCCCCAGGACCTACTTCGGAGCTTCTTTCAACTGTACCCTGAAGATCAGTTAAATACACAAACACCCTAAAGCTAAAATAATCATACGAAGTATTGCCTAGTATTTCCCACTTACACGGACACAAAGCCCCTACAGCTAAAATAATCATAGGCAGTATTACCAAGGATTTCCTGCTTGCACGGACACCAAACCCCCACCACTAAAATAATCATACGAAGTATTTCTTAGTATTTCCTATTTACACGGACACAAAACCCCTACAACTAAAATAATCAGAGGAAGTATTGCCAAGGATTTCCTACTTACACGGACACAAAGCCCGTAAAACTATACATCATAGGAAGTATTGCCTAGTATTTCCTACTTACACGGATCATAGGAAGTATTGCCTAGTATTTCCTACTTACACGGACTCAAAACCCCCAAAAACTACAATAGCCATACGAAGTATTGCTGTTTATTTCCTACTTACACGGACACAAAACCCTTAAAACCAAAATAATCATACGAAGTATTGCTTAGTATTTCCTACTTACACGGACACAAAGCCCGCAAAAACTAAAATAATCATACGAAGTATTGCCTAGTATTTCCTACTTACACGGACACAAAGCCCGTAATCATACGAAGTATTGCCTAGTATTTCCTACTTACACGGACACAAGACCCCTAAAACTAAAATAATCATACGGAGTATTGCCTATGCCTTGTTTACAACCACACATCAGTGCATCCAAGCGGCCTGAGCGAAGAACATGTAGTCAGAAGCAGGACTCTTATTACGAAGGTAGGGTGTAATATGGGGTATTTTATGAGGTATTTTATAGGGTACCCTAAGAAGTGCGGATGCCAGTCTGGCTGTCTCTGATCCGGGCCGGGTTTCAGTATAAATACTGAATTATACTGCGATTATACTGGGCATGATCCTGCATGTACATGTGTACTGACGTGTGGTAGCGTACATATCTACAGACATGCTTTGAGGTAGGTCCTGGGGGGGTACCATATATGTATATGTATATATATATATATATACTGTAGAAATCGGGCAACGCCCTGGGGTTGCTGCCGCAGGCCATGCGGCCATTTCGCGCGGTATGGCGGGTTTTGGGGCACCCGTGGGCGGAAGGCCCAAAATGGGCAGGCGCGCAATGATGCTGATGATGGTCACCGGAAGGCCTCAAAGGGGGGCCTCCGCGTGCGCGCAATGATGCTGATGGGGCCGGGGCGGCAAGGGGAGGGACCAAGCGGGAAGAGGCGCGCACCCGCACGCATTCTGAGGGACCAAGCGGGAAGGGCCGCCCCAGCCCGTGCAAACCCTGTGAAGCCTAGAGGGAGAGACCCCCCAAAAAGCAAAAATGGCAACAGGAGCCGAAAAATAAAGTGCAGAGAGATTCTCCGCCCTTGGTAGAGCTATCACGATCTATCTGTGTTTTGTGCAAAGAAGAAAAAGGCACAGTAAAGACGTGGGGCTCCCAGTCTTGTTGCATCACTGCGGCTGATGTCGTGCGTGGGTGGCAAAGAGGATATGAGTAAGACGCGAGTCTTGAAAGATACATGTTCGTGGGAGTTTGTTGTGCAAGCAACAGCGGTGTCAAGCCTGTTCGATGATTCCGAGCAGATGCCGTGCTTTTCGCTGCAGCCATTATCATGGAGTGCAAAACGCCGGAATCACTGCACCGACACCAGATGCATGGCACCCACTGTTTGATCACCTCGTAATGAATGCATGTAGTGATCCGGTATGTGGTTCCGGCCTTCCTTTATTGTTAAGACCCCGTTGTGCAGGAGAACAACACCCAGTCATGCGCGCACCGTTTACCAATCTGACAACACGCTCTTCAGCAAACCTTGACACAGATTTTCTTTATAGCAGCCCAAAGTGGCAGCATGGCTTGAGCTTCGCGATGGGCGAACATACCAAAATCAACCCTGGACCGTTCATCGAGTTCCTAAACAATGTGTGCCCAGCGATTCTGGGAGCTCCGAAGGTGGAACTGTTTCCTTGTTTGCCAGACTGCCAAGCAAGCATGCGTGTGATTTCATCATGCCTCATTGCCCAACCCTCAGGATGAGATCTCGAGACATTTCGCCAGCTTGGAGATGATGAACAAGGTGCGCCACTTCATCTATGATGACCAAGACACTACCTTTTTCATCGCTCGTGAGCTGGTCCGGATCCTAGTCCTCGTGGCCTCATCGGGTACACCTCGTGTAGAACCCGCCGGTGCCGGTGCCATCAGGTTGACCGAGAAGACAAGAAGGAAGATGGCAAGAGTTCTGAGGCTTCCTTTTTGGTCTGTGCTGTACACGTCGTGTGATTCCGATCCCTTGCATGCTGAGGATAAGGAATATTCCATCATCACTGAGAACGAAGTTGTCTTTCGTAGACAAGCGTGTGTGCTGAGCTTAGCGCCTTGGTTCTGTGACCCCACGTTGCACGGCTGTTCTCTCAGGCCGTGGCATTGCTGAAACGGAGCCCTGCGACCTTTCGAGCGGCCTATGAAGGCACCTTGGAAGAAGGCCGCGCTTGGGCAAGAGTGTCCGGGCAGTGCTGCTCTCCTTCCCTTCTCGTTTGCGTATCTCGCCTATAGGTGCCGTTCCTTCCAACGGCAACTTTGCGTCGCACCTCCAGCGCCTCGGCGTGCCTCGGCAGAGCGGCTGCCCTTTGCGAATTCGGGAGCAGAGGTTGCTGACCATGGGAGCAGAGTCCGAGCAACCTTGCCTCAAGTTCAGCGGTCTGACCAGAGTTCTACAGACAAGATGGCTAGAGCGTCTAGGTGGTCTCCCTTCGAGCTTGTCCACCTCTATCTTCAGAACGGCTTTGCTCCGCTGTTTAATGCGGTTGCCAAGCAGTGCCTGTGCTTGATTCGGAAGTCGATTCGGGTTTGTGAGATGAGCTGAGAATGAGCAGGTCTGAAAGTGCGAACAAGACGGGTGCCGGCGATGATGACCGCGAGGAACTCAAGGCCAGCTCCCTGCTCCGAGTTTCTTGGCTCGGGTTGGCCCGGGTTGACCCGGGCCATGGGCCAGGTCGGCGTCCCGAATGTGATGCGCAAGATCATGGACCTGAGCATGGCGCTGATGTTCTGGCCTCGACTCGAGCTGACTCATACCGTTGCTTGGCCATGCGAAAGCAACGTCAGGCAGTGCCAGCAGAACGTTGATATCGAAAACATTTCTCTTCCAATAGATCCAGAAATTGCGGAGGTTTGCCGCTTACTTCTTTCAAATTCTGCTGCTTTGCTTGATCTGAAAGTCGGGACCAGACTAGACCTGTCTATGCTTGCTGAGGCCTTCGAGAAGGCGAAGTCAGAAGGAAGGCAGCTAAGCACTGACGACTTTAAGGAGACATGCGATGCTTGTAGTCGGTTGAGCTTCTGCATTTGCCGCGAGTTTCTGTGCATTGCTTCTCGACATAGCAATGGACGGAGAGCGGGCGCTTCATGGAACTGCTCCTACTACCTGAGAGGAACGTATGAACGACTCGACCTTCCAGAATCAACTCCAAAGCGCGGCACTCTGTCGTCATAGATTTGTGTGCGCGTCTCTGTCCTTTTACCTGCTCGAGGCGGTGTTAACAAGTGGAGCAAGGACAGGGTTTGACAGCGCAGGTTGCGGAATGGCAGCAGAAGCGAGCTTGCAAGCCGTAGGAAATTCAACGGGTTGCGAAGATGCAGCGAGATTCATCGACGGGCAGCACGATGCAAGAGATTAACTTTTGGCTCGGCATGGAGAAAGCCAGAACCTTGAACTTGTCGTGTCATGTGCCTTTGAAAACCGACAGTCCGCGAAGGAGAAAGCTTGTGCCAGGTCCTCAATGATGCTCAGCAGCAGCTGCAGACGCCGGAGATCCAGCTGACTCTGAACCTCTTGCGGGTCCGCCGCACGTCAGAGCGTTCAAAGCAATAGGCACAGACAGAACAGAGGAGAATGCCCGGTATCCCTTGCTCGTCATCTCTGTTTTTGTATTTTTTTTTTGGGGGGGGGTTCTCTGTTCTCCTGTTGTGTTGTGGGAGGGCGCACGGCGCTTCCTGGCCACCATGCAGTGGCCTCGGAGAGTCGCAGTTGGACCCGTCTCTCCTCGTCACCCTCTCAGAGGTCCTTCGAGGCGGACACGGGGCTGAAGCCTGCCATCGAGAAGGTGTCGAATTACCTCAGCTTGCCCAGCCCCAAGGGGGGGGGGCCAGATTGGGGTCGAAGTCACGGCGTCTAGCAGCAAGGCCAAAATGCTCTTTTTCATCGCAGGCTCCGTGACTTCCCTATCAACGAGCTACTCGTGGCTGGCGGCTGAGCCGGAAGGGGTGGCAGGAGACTGAGAATGCTTCGGGTTCTCGTGACGTGGTATAGTGTGCGAGGCATCCTCTATTGAGCAACTGACGCAGGCCGGATATGCGAATTTAAGTGAGCTGACGTGCGGACGTAGCCTTGTTGCTTGGAGCGCAGGCCGTGCGGACGATCTTCAACCATCTGAAGAGAATCCGAAACGCAAATCAGTGAGCACAGCTCCCTGCCACTGATGGCATCCAGAGCCGTGGATCGAGCCAGGTACCCGCTTTGGAGGGCCTACAATCTCGTCGAAGCTGTCAGCCGGGATCTTTCAGCCAGAGCCCGAGACGGTCGAGACGTGATAAAGAATGATTTCCGGACTCGGCTTACCGCCGCAGGATCGCCTGCTGAAGATCTTGTCAACGCAGCGGCTCATGCAGCAGGATAGCGGCGGTGCCTAAACGCATGTTGATCACCTCGGTGCCCGGTCGGTTTTCCTTGATTTTCAGGCGATCCCACAGACTTGACTTGGGGGCGTTTCATCTAGTCACCCACGAGTCGCAAACAACGACGTCCACACCACGGCTTGAGTAAGTGGCTAGCTGGCTCCAAGAGACAGCACATCCTGCGCAAGTTCGCAGTAGCAGATTTATGTGATGACAAACCTCTCACGACTCTCGAAACGTGAAGGGAAGAAGCAACCGGGCTACATCGGATCGTTTGCGTCGGGACGCGCCCAATAACAGAGTTGAAGCGTCCGGATCACATTAGTCGGGCAGAAAGCCCAATGTCCCAGTCTCCATGCCGAAGGTTTCTTGGTCGAGAGATTGGCATGTGCTGCTCCACGGAGAGTTTGAAGACACGCGGCAGGTCGCAAGCCAATGCCCGTCGTATCGGCTTCGGGAGCGTTGCATTGCTGCCTACAATCCCATGACTTGCAACTTCAATGGGCCGGGAGCCGCGCAAAGCAACACCGCTAGAACTTGATATGGTGGCGGGCAGTCAACGGCTGTCCTTTCATCGCGAGTTGAGCGATGAAGAAGGAACATTGACACGATCGAAGTCAGTATGGCAACTCGTAGAAGCGTGCAAACGAGCGAGCTTCCTCGCAGTAGACTGCCATTCGGAAGACGGTTCAGAAGCTGCTGCCACACAGGAATCCAGAAAGGGCTCAGGAGGACCATAGTATCCGTCATGGGTCCGTCATGGTGCTCAGAACTTGCGCGAATGCTACTGGCACTGCCACGCCGTGCATCCTCCTCAAGCCATGTTGGTCACGGACATGGCCTGCCTTCAACCTGTCAGGGTAGAGAGCCAAGGTTCAAGAGGGGCTTCTGTGGGAAGGGAAGGTGTTCAGGTGTTCCGAACACTGCATCGAAGCACGAGCCGCAAGATTAGGTCCGACGCATGCGGCCTGGCAGGATGCAGAGATGTTCAGCCAGAACATGTCCAACTGCCAAGAGCTCTTCCGCGTGTGGAAGGATGAGGCTTTGGAAGGCCACATGCTAAAGTTTGAGCTTGTCTCAGAAGCCTATCAAGGTGGGGCAATTTCGGCAACTGGTCAGGGAGCAGCTGAAAAAGCGCCCTTGCCTCGGCGAGCTCACACCGGGACTGAGCAACCGCCGGAACCGCTACGTCTGTAAGGCGGCAACGAGCGGCCGACAGTGAAGATCAACTGCATCTTGCCCGCACCAAGAAGCCCAAAAACGAGTCGCAGTGACTGTCCCGGGGGGGGGGCCCCGGGGGCCCTGTCGGCGCGCGCCTTCTCTTGACGAGGTGAGCATGAGCAGCTCCAGGCCGGAGCGGAGCGGGAGCAGTGGACGACTCGTGTTTTAAGTGGGCTCTCAGAGGCGCGGATCGAGGAGCTCCAGAAGTTCCGGAGGCCCGGATTTTGAGTTGTCTCGGCGCCCTCCGAATTCTGTGCACAGCTTCTTGGAGGCATCACATGAAGCTTCAAGAGATCATCGAGCGGGTGCTCGTGGACGGCAAGGAGACCGGTGCCAAGGCCGAGTGTTTAGAGTCCGTGGACTCCGGGCTGTCATTGGCGCTCTGCAGGCAGAAGTTGCGGCAGCCTACCAGCTCGTCGAGCAGGTGCGTCGTTGTGGCGATGTGGTCTTAGCTCTCAGTGTTGCTGCGAGGTGGATGTTCTGGATGTGAGCCGCAGGGGTCAGCAGGACACCGTCGCAGTTCCGAGGATGTCGGCTTGCAGACTCACATGCAGGAATGGGAGAGCACTCAGCGTCGCTACGACGAGCGTGGCGGCCCTACCTACGGCAGGTTCAGGATCCATTTGGGAGACTCTCCCTGAAGACCCAAGGTATCGACCATGCAGAGAGTGAGATCACTGCGAGGCTTCCTTGTTCCAGACCGGTCTCTTAGGTCTCTTAGCGAGCGTCAAGCCGAGTCAAGCTGTCCAGGCTTCGCGACAAGCTTGGAGCTGCCAAGACTGCGACGGCCGGCTGACAGAACGGCCAATCGCTGATCAAACGAAATCTGCTTCTGTAGCTCAGGAAATGTTCCGCGTCTTCAGCCGGTTCAATGCGCTCTTTGTTCGTCCCCGGATTCGAAGGGCCATTCAGGTGCAGCATGCCTGTGGATTCGACCATGTTTCAGACGGATTTTTTTGCGGATGCTCTGGATGCAGGAGTACCAGTCTTCTTTGATCCAACAGGCCTGAGAGAGTCTCCCTGGCGTGCTGGTCGTATGCTGTCTAGACAATGCAGGTGAAGGAGGACGTGCATCGCCTGCAGGAGAAGTTCAAGGAGACCTATGAGGGCACCCAGGCCCCTAAACGCCGAGACTTCGATGAGCCCTGCAGAGAGCGAGATCGGTCATGGAGGCTTGCAAGCTCACGGCCATCCGTGGATTGCCCCCAACGGCCGGGCTCATCGTTTGGGCCAGGCCGGTATCTTCAACTGGCGTCTTGCGTGCATAGTGGCCCCCTTCTTTTTGAAGGCAGCTCGAGCGGCGCCTGGCCATTTACATGAGCCGTGTCGAGGACTTGGGGGACTGGATGGGCGAGTATCTTTTGTCGGGCAGTGATGCTTTTTTGACGATGGTGCAGTCGATAGCAGTCATAACGTGCCAGAGATCTGCCGCTGTCCTGGGTCCTGGAGGATGTACTCGGCAAAGGATGGGAAAACCATGTGGATGGGAAGAATCTGAAGCAGGAGGGCGATGCTTTCGCCAGAAAGACGCTCGGATCTGATGGGTAGCGCGAGGGCATGGTAATTTTGGAGAAGTTTGCGCGATTTGCAAGTCCAGGATGAAGACGAGCCATATATTTGATGAGTGGCTGGCTGACACAAAGGCTCCCATTGATGTCACCTCGCCGGCATCGTGAGCCTGACAGACTCACATGTGACAGGACTCCAAGAAGTTTGACGTGAGCATGCGAATCTTCGACATCCAGCAGGGCTATCAGTTCGGCACTGAATCTGCTGATCTCTCGGCTGGCCCAGGTGGGCTGCATGCCGTGTACAAAGGACCTACCTGCTATTGGTCAACTTCGATGAGCAAATCATCACTCTCTTCAAGGAGGCCGTGCTTCGGAGTGCTCTCGACATGTAGTGACTGTCTCTCTTATTATATATTTTTGATGTGGGCACCAAGAAAAGTCTACAAGCACAGAGCATGCAGTGCTTAGGCTCTTTCTGATTTTCGCAGGTGCGGAATTTGCAAGCTCTGGGCGATTACCGTGTCCCTTATGCAATCAAGGCCAGTCATGTACCACGTGTTCTGTGACAGCTAGTCCTGCTGAACTTCACAGGTGAATTCTGACGAAGCCAAGCAGAACTATCCCTTTGCTATGACATTGCAAGAGGTTGGTGGAGTGGGTTAGAGCAGAGATTTCTGCATCTTTCCTGCCGGCATGGTCATCCAGGCCGCACGGACGTACATGCAGACTTGCGCGCAGATCAAAGCCGCCCCGCCCTTTACGACCCATCATCGACAAGGCACATTGCTGTCTGTTTCGGACATCAGGACCATCAACCACTGATGGCCTCGTTTCAGAAGGGCGTGCAGGAGACAGGGAACTTATGGGGCCCGGCCATGACTTACAGCCCATTTTCTTTTTCTCAAGGACTTGATAGCCGACGGTCTCCATCTGAAGTGGGATGATCAGAAGACGCTCGCCTGCATAGCACAACAGCCTGCTTGCAAGGGACTTGAGCTGAGGATCGAGAGCTACACCCAAAAGCTTTCTGAAACCGTCTTCCAGTTTCAACAGAAGCTGTGGACTCAAGCTCTGGAATTCATTCAGATTCGTGAGGGCTTCGGAGCAGACGCCAGGTTCACCGAGCTCGAGTCGATGGCGGAGCAGATGTCCCGCACTATTGAGAGCCTGGACGACGTGAATGTGAGGCAAAGATGGAATTGGTAATGACCCCTGTGCGAACCTTGTGTGGGATTTTGAGCCCTTGCACGAAGGCAAGAAAGCAGTGCTCAAGAGATGCTCTTGGCCAAGTTCGAGAAAATGCAGAAGACTGTTGACGACCGATGCTGACTCTGCCGAATGCCCCTACCCACAGTCTCTCAAGCAAGTAGCCCGGAAGGACATGAACTTGGCGAGCTTCTCCAACATGGACACTTGGGTGCAAGGCCTGAACAAACAGATCGAACAGAGGCCGGGGGCGGGCCGGGCCGGCCGGGGGGGAGCAAACGAGCCTTTCGCCACGGAGGCTTGTTAAGCTCCTGGCGGCGACGAGCGCCCAGTGGCTGCAGGAATTCAAGAGATGGTCCGGCCCTTAAGCCTCAAGATCCTTAAACGAGCGACCTGCGAAAAACGCTACAGCTCAAGTCCCAATGCGACCGCTTCAGTGGCCAGTTCCACCCAGGCCATTGAATGGCAACAACTTGATTCAGGCCTCCGGATTTCAAATCTCTTTGGCGCCCGCATGCATCGCCGGATGCAGCTCGGAGTTCACAATGTGGTCCATGAGGGCATGACGTTGTGCTTACAGGAAGCCGCCGTGCAACTTGCAGTGCTGGAGCTTCACATGCAGCTGCTCGAATCAACGGTTTCTCAAGATGGTCTGCTAGCCGCAGTCTAGCCGCCCTGAGGACATCCCCCTCAGGAGTACGCTTGGCCAGCTTCTCGGAGCTCTCGCGCGGGCGCAAGTCAAGGGGACGCTGCGCGCTGGACGCGCAAAGGTTCTGGAGCCTCAGAAGGAGTTTGCGATGACGCACTGGGTGAAGCATTACCACGACTGCAGAGCTGGCATGCTTCATTTGCGACCGCTTGGACTTCATGGCTTGGCTGTGCAGAGCGATGCCTGCACGGCAGGTTTGGGGATGGTGTGCAACCTGCCTTTGCTCCAAGCAGCCCGCTTCGATGCTCTTAAGTTGGAGCCTCAAACCACATAAGCTGCCACAGCAGAGCCGCTCCCTACATTTCCTGCCACAGGCGCGGGGCAAAGGAGTCTGCTGCGACGCACCGGGGTCTCATCGTGCAGCTCCAAGCCCCACCCCAAGTCGAAGTCATGCGATGAGTCTTCGTTTACTCAGGCACTCTTGGACCAAAAGACCCTTATCGAGGTCTACGATCATGTTTCTTGGCCTGGTCCGGTTTACAGTTCCGTCTGGAGAACGAAGACTTTGGTTTCTCAGAGGTCAGCAGCACTGTGGAGGACATGCAGGCTTGGGCCACCTCGCCCAAATCCGGAAGCGGGGCGTGACCCGGGGGGGTTACGGTCCAGGAGTATGTCTCGAGCTGGATGCAGTACCAGTCGCTTTGGGAGATCAACACCAGTGCGGCCCGGGGCCTCTGAGTTGGCTTCTGCGTCCGCGTCTGTGTGCGTGCGACTGCGAGGTCCTCTCGCGACTCGGCGCCTGCGCCTGAGACGGGCGGACAGCCGCGGGTTCTGGGAGAGACGGCTTCGTGTCGCGTCTCTGCAGGATGATCTCAGCCGATGGCACAGCCGTCTGCTCGGAGCTGGCTGGTGCTTCCCTGTTCCGAGTCCGAAGCGGACACCCGATATCGAGGCATGTTGACCGAGATCCAGTACCTCAGCTCTCGCTTCGAAGGCTCCGAGCAGGCACCTCCCTGACCGGGAGTCTATGTTCGGGCCTCAGAATGTGCAAGCCGAGGAGAAGTACTTTGGCCCCATTGTGGTGGACTACAGCAAGGCCTGAGCGGCGCCTCTGATGAAGCCGCAGATTCACACTGCGCTGAGAGGTCCAGTCCAGGGTCAAGGCCAAGTACGACCAGTGGCACCGTGACCTTCTCAACTCCTTCGGGGAGAAGGTCGGAGTGTGGGAGAGGGAGTGCCTTTCTCTGGAGGGGAGTACGGAGCACGGGTGTCGCGGTCGCCTCAGGTCAGGGAGGCCATGAGCGAGTTCTTCCGCCAGGTGAACCAGGTGCCAACCCCTTCTGAACGGGACCTTTTGGACCCGGACCATCCACGGCACCCTTCTCTTCTCGCTGCTTTTTGTGTCAGGGAAGGGAGCGCCTGGAAGCTGTCGATGGCAGCGGCGACCTCACGGCCGGGCCGCGTTTGTCTCGCCCTCCATGCGCTTCTGTCTTTCTGTTGTTGTTGGGAAGGTGGTCTGCATGGCAGTGCTGAAGGCCAAGGACGAGGGAGAAACGGGAAGCGGGTTTTTGCGCATGGAAAACAAGGTGAAAACCAGCGCCGAGAAATGGAGCCCAGAGTTTGAAGAGCTGCAGAAGGCCCCCAAGCTGAGGTGATTTTGATTCCAGTGAATTCCTGTGATGACCTTCATCCCCTAGAGGCGCAGAAGCTGCTTGTGAAGCAGCGATTCCAGTTTCCAGAGGATGGGGATCCGGCGGAAGCATGGGGAAGCTTCTCCGCCCCCAAGCTGATGTCTGGTTTGACCTCAGGATTGGATGCACATCGAGCAAGTGCAGGGTGAGTGGGAGGCCGAACCAGTGTCTCTACAACTAGTGACACAGCGAGGACAAACTGGGCCAGGCATTCGAACAAATCCTAACCCGACGCAACCGGGCGCCGCACTCGGTGCAGCATCAGCTGGTCCACAGTAAGCATGGTAAATCTGCAAATCTGTCTGTCACAGATACTTGATCATGAACTACCGAAGCTTCGATCGGTGTTGGTCCAGAAAGACAAGCAGCTGGAGGAAAGCATCACTCAGCTCTATGCAGAATGGCTTCGCCGGCATGTGTCGAAGAGAAAACCATTGTTAGCTTGCCGAGATTTCTTGTCCCTAGGTCCAGCCAGAAACCGGTTCAGGGTGGCTTAAAGCCAACCGCTGCCATGCAAGCGATCAAGGACTTTGATGCCAGAGTCTCAGATCAGGATTGTTTCAGAATTCTAAAATCTCAGCTCCTCCCTGCACCGCTAGGAGCGCCTCTTGATGCTCCGGGAACAGCACAGCCAGCTCGTGCAACTGAAAAAGTCCTTGCAGATGGAGGCTGGGTGCATCAATTCCAACTGCTGTGCAGGTGACGTGAAACTGTGAAACTCTTCAGGTGGGTGACGTGGAAGCATTGGCGCCGTTGCAGGAGGACGCGACACACTGACACGTGCCTTAGTCACGAAGCGGGAGGTCGTTGCACCCGCGAGGAAATGGGAAACTTGAAGGATGTGTGGCAGTCGTCCCGGTTCATCGCAGCCAGTGGCAAAGGTCAAGCGAGGCAGACCTGTATCTTGACGTTTTTGGCTAGGTCCGAGATCAATACGGTGCACAGCCGAGTGGAAACGTTGAAGGCTGCACGTCGCATAGCCCGAAAGGGCTCTTACGCAGTGGCCAGTGCTGTGCAGGAGACTTTGTGGACTGCAGTGGAGCCCAAGCGCATCAAGCACGCATTGGAGGTCGCGACGGATCGCTTGCGCAACTCGGACTTCTGCTTTCACTTTGCAGGACCTGCTTTCGAATATGAAGCAGATGGACCGGCGGTTGCAGCAGTACGAGGTCAGAGTCCAGATGAAGAGTCGAGGATTCAAGATCTTCGGGTAAACTGGAGTCTGTGGACCGGAAGGGGAATCGAGAAAGTTGGAAAGCTCTCCATCCCTACAGCTGCCGTTCTCGAAGGCATTCGACCACATCCAGGAGCAACTTCAGGCTCAGATAAAGCTGAACCAGGCGCCGAGCATTGCTGGGTACAACTGAAGCTTTGATTCGTCTTCACTTCGAGGTCGTGGCAGAGCTGAAGACGGATGCGCTCAAAGAGCGTCACTGGAAGCAAATCGCCACTTGGCTACTGCAACCACGCCGGGGCTGCTTTGAATGTGCTGACGTCCCTCCGCAGGTCCAAATGCTAAAGCTTTCAGTTGGCTTCAATGAGCTGACGCCGCGTGCTAAGTGCACTAAAAATGCACTAAGCACGCTGCGCAGGCGCAGCCCTTTCGTATTTGAGATGTCACGTTGAGAGGCTGGGACATCTCTGGGACTCCAACCTTGAGAAGCACCAGCCAGCCATCAAGGAGATGCTCGCCAGAGCACAGGGCGAAATGGGTCTGGAACAGTTCCTGGCAGAGGCTTGGTGTTTGCAGGATCTAGGTCCTCAGAGGTCCTAGGGCATCGACAGTTCTGCAAAGGTTCGAGAGAAATGGAGCAACTACGAGTGTCGACCTCGGATAAAAAGTTGTGTTGCAAAGAGCTGAGCTAATCCGTCGGCCAAGACGGTGCATGAACAGCCTGTCTGCAGTTTGGAACTGGTGCCCTACAAGAGCAAGTGCCGGCTGATCCGGTCTTGGGTCTGGCTCTAAGCAGCGGATCGGCACGACCATCCGGGAAAGATCCAGCAGTTCACGTATCCATCTATTCTGAGGATGACCTGTTTAGCCAGCTGGATGAGCACCTCCAGCACCTCGACATGGGGCGTTTAGACTCTCTCATGTTCCATCCGTCTCACAGCATCTCTCAAGGATCCAATGTTTGTCTTTGGCCCTGCAGGAGCATTCAGTCGATGAAGATGTCTCCGTACTACAAGTCTTTCGAAGACGAAGGCGCTACTTGGGATGCCGGCACCTCGGAGGGACCCCGAAGCCAACAACCCCCCCAACTTGAATGCCTCGGATTTTCCGTGAGGACAGGCTGAACAAGATTCGCATTGTCTTTGACTTGTGGATGGACGTGCAAAGACGGTGGGTCTACTTGGAGGGTATCTTCGGCAGCAGCGCAGACATCCAGCAGCTGCTCCCCAACGAGTTTGCCCGCCGGCAACCCAACATCCACTCGTCACTCTTCCTAGAATTCAGCCCGACGAACTCAAGGCTTCAAGACCATCGACTCCGAGTTTGTTGGTCTGATGAAGAAGGTGGCGGCCAAGCCCAAGGCCCTTTTGGAGGGCGAACCTTCGGCTTCCACTCTCAGCAACGGCGCTGTGATCAGGTCCTGGAGGTGCCGCGAGCTTTCTGCGAGCATCGGGGCAGGGGGTCTGAGGGAGACTCGGAGACTCGGTCTCTCCCTCTCTTCTTTCTCTCTCTCTTTCCCAGTTCCTTGTCGAGCTGAACCGATTTTCGGCCTGAGAGATGCCCGAGTCGACCGTGCGGACTCGAACTACTTCCCGTTGCTACATTCCGGTCACTTCAGAACAAGCAGTAAAAGGCTGAGAGGGGTTGATTTGGACGCTCTTCTGCACTGCAAGCGACATGCATGTGGCTGCTATGCCGCATTGATCTTGCGACTGCCGCTCCCGGTAGAAGTTCATCGTGTCCTTGATAGATAGTCATCTTATGCTCAGACCTACTGAGACGATGCCGCCACTGCTACTCTTGCTGCTACCACGACGAACGCCTCCGTGGCAAACGTGTAGGCTTTCTGCCCTCAAGTCCTGCTGTGGTGCTTCTCCTGTTTTTCAACCTTCGGAAACATGTCTTTCCAGATGCAACCTGCCGTGCGTTCTTAGTATAGCGGTGTCCGTTTCCGAGGGCACAGAGACGAGGTAGCATTGGATCCGCAACACGAAGTGTGAAGCGGCGACGCGTCTGAGTAGACGAGGACGCGTCGCATCTGCTAGGCCGTCGGAATTGAGGGGGTCCAGAAGCAGCTGGACCGCTTGTCGGACATGCTCACGGCCGTGCAGAAAGCATTAGGCAAGGTGTCCTCGCACAGCTGCACGCCCTGCTTGCTTGCCCTGCGCTAATTCGGCTGAACAGGCGACTACCTGGAGAAGCAGCGCTCACAGTTTGCACGCTTCTACTTCGTCGGAGATGAGGACGGTCTGTTTATTTCTGGACGGTCTGGACTCTTGGGTGGCGTATGTTATTGGCGGGCGCAAGCCAAACAGACGAGGAACTTCTTTTCAAGAGGGTTTCTGGTAGAATAAGGACATAGTTCTGATTCCCCATTTCACGGGCTGTAGGGAAGGGCCGGAAACGAAGAGTCTTGTCTCTTCCTTTCTTCTTTCAGTCGCACATTGTTCAAGTCTGGAGTGAAAGGCAATGCTAGCTCTGTGGGCGCCTGTTGTCTCCGTTGTGGCTAAAAATCAGACAGCAGGGTCTGCCCGAATGCGGTGGCTACAATTTTGATCTTTTTCTATGGTGGTGCTGGGGGCCAGGTAATTACCATGATGTACCATGTCATATCATGTCATTAGAAGAAAGAAGTGCCGTTGTTGTCGATGTGCTTCCTGGCTGCCACTATGTTTGTGGCTGGAAGCATGCCGACACACGATCTTGCACACGCTTTCGCAGAGGACCTTCTTGAAATGATCGGCAACTCGAAGGATGTTGCAGCGGTAAGCCGCCATCTTGCGCGGCTCCTGGATGTTGAGCAGGACGAAGTTCTCACCAAACTCCAGCCTTAGGCGAAGATGTTTGCTGGGCTGTCGCAGCTCAGCACCGATCCAAGCAGCCCCGAGCTCGTCAAGGCATTTCAGCCTCGTTGCAGTCAGCGAGTCAGCAAAGAGCTCCGTGCTCCCTGGAGCCTCTTCTGCTCAAGTGACATGCAGCTCGCAGCAAGACTCTAAAACCCGTTGCTCTGTGCACACGAAGCTTGAGCCAGCCTCGTCGCCATGAGCGAGCGGCCGAAATGCGCGAAGTGTGCGAAGGAAATCGTTGGCAAGGCGCGTGGCATTGGCCAGGCTTCTGGCCGGAGGGTCGTGATTTCGAATGCTCTGGTCTCAGGGCGTTTCCGTCGAAGGCGGCTGCTACCACCCCGACTGCTTCTGTTGCGACAGGTGTGGGATGTTGTGAGCCCACCAATCCACCGTAAGAGCCATGAGTCTTCGAACACAGGCGTTTTTAGGGTCCGCGAGCGGGCGGTTCATATATGTGCACGTAGCCGTGCTTTCTGTATACACAGGCCTACGTGCGGTTTCTTGCCCTGAACCCCACATGCTGAAACCTCAAGCCCCGAGCCCCCAACCTGCAAGTCCAACAAACCCCTAAAGCCTAAAACCGCTGAAACCCTAAACCCCACGAAGCCTTAAATCCCAAACCCAAGGCTTGATGAAACAACCCTAAGCCCTAAACCCTGAAAAACAAAAGCTTGAACCGCGAACCATATAAACCCTAAAGCCTAAACCCAAAACCCAAGAACCCTAATCGAAAGCCCCGCGCCCTAAACGCTAAAGCCAGACAGAAGGCTCGTTTTGGCATAGTTTGGGTCTAAACCATAAAAGGAACGGAGTCGGGTGGGAGAGAAAGAAGGAAAAGCCTTCTATAGACACGCTTTCACAGCTCACCGCCATAGTACGATGCACTCGACACACCTACATGCTATTCCACCGCAAACCATGAGCGTTAAACCCTAAACCCAAGAACCCTGAGTTAAAACGTCAATCCCGAAACCCTGAAGCCTAAAACATGGACCATAAACCCGAAACCGCAAATCCCACACCCTGAACCCTGAACCCGACCACCTAACCCCTAACGTCTAAACCCGAAACCCTAAACCCAAGAACTATGATTGAACACCATAAGCCGTACAAACCCTAGCTAGACCCTGAAGCCCTAAACCGTAAAGCCTAAACCGCAAACCCTGAGCCTAAACTGCAAAACTCTACCATCCTATGCGCCCTTCCGCGAAACGGGGCAGACCGTGCGCGGATATGAATATCGCGGAGCATGTGCGTATGAGCCCCTGGCCTCGCGAGCTCACCCCTGCGAGGTGTAAGATCCCACTCTCTGGGCGATTCAATCGAAAAGATGGTCAGCGATTGTGCGAGGAGAGGGCCTAAGTTCGACCAGTGCTCGCCTCGACGCTGCCGTCCCGTGTCAGGGCTGCACACCAAGCTCCTACTGTGAGGCTGGAGCTTTCCGTGCTGCCATGTTCTGCCCCTTCTCTTGGTTTGGGGAGTCTTCACGACTCCTTGGTGCACGTTTGCAGGCTTGTCATAAAAGGATCGATGGTAAGGAGGGATGCCTTGTAGTGTCAGCATAGCAGCGCAGTTTGTGGCCTCCTGTGGCAGAGGAGACGCGAGCAGAAGGCAAGACCTGGCACCCCGAATGCTTCAGGCCTTGCAGTCGCAGCTCTGCATGGCAATGCTGTCCGCGTCAGCGTACCAGGTGTGTCAGGTGTGGAAAGGCGATCGCCAACTCCTTCTTTCGCGTAAACGGAGAGCTGAGGTGGGCTTCAAGGCTGCGACCCCTAGCTTTAGGTTCTGCACCACATTGGGCGCAGGTGCCACGATTGCCAGCAGCCTGCAGTGCCTGCAGCTGGCTGTGGGCAGAGGCCACTTGAAGTCTTCCGAAATCGATCGTTGCCAGGAGCCCCTACCAGAGCGGCAGAGGCCATGGCCCCGTCGTCCGCGTGCTCATGCGAAGCGGTGCGAAGCGATGCGAAGCGATGCGAAGCGGTTCGCGTCGCGGGAGGAGCTCCCGACCTGCCGTGGGCGACCGACTCGGGAAAGCTCGGCTCGGGCCCGGGGATGGGAAATTCTTGTTTGCAGACTCGGAGGTGCCGAAAAGCCATCAGAGAGGCGCGGGCACTCTTCAGCTCGGTAAAGTCGCCGTTGCCGCGTCGCAGAGAGGAGGAGCCGAGCATTCTGGCCGACAAGAGCGACAGGCGAGGTGCCATGTCGCTTCTTCGTGCTTCTTGCTGTAACCACGATGGCACTGCAGGTTTCACGAGCAGTGCTTTGTGTGCGCAGCATGTGGTGAAGCACTTACCTCCTACGTCATTCTGGAAGCCCGCAAGTACCAATTCCAGGACGTCTGAAGTGTGGTCGTTGTCAAAGCACACTCGGCCCTGAGAGGAGTGTCCGTATTATTGCGAGCCCTGTGCTGACAAGTTGGAAGCCAAAGAAGCTCCAGAAGGAGGCTGACTGTGTTGGATTCTTGGCTGGCCTGCACGCGCAGCACTTGTCAAGGGCTTGCGTTTCTTTGTCCATAGAGCCGGGCCCTGACATGTCTCCCAACACGAAGCGCAGCACTTCGCGACGGCGACAGCGAGACGTCAGCGAGACGTCAGCGATTATGTGATTTGCAGGACACTTCCGCAAAACTGGCACAGACACAACTCCGGGCCGCTCTCAGAAGGGCTTGTTTCAGACAAGGAGCTCCCAACAGGAACGAATCGACAGCCGCAAGAACACTTTGCCTTGCACATGCCAAGCCGATTCATGCGATAGCATTCACAAGCTACCTGCAGATCTATTGACTGCACGAGATAATGGGTCAGCCCGGTGGCGGTCGCAATGGCTTCATAGATATAACGCTAGCAGTGTCTGGTGGTTGGCCAGTTTCGAAAGTAGCCAACTGTACTCATTGCTTTGATGCACAGGATGTCAGAATGAGCGCACATGTACGAGTCTACACTCCTGGAAGTTTGCAAGGGTCGCTTGCTTAGCAGACCGTGAAGGGTAGAAAAGTTGGCCAAGCAACACAGGAAGGAGAAGGCGACATCAGGAGACCACTGAATCAAGTTGGGAAGCTGAGGAGGCAGCTACCAGTACCAGGGGCCCTGTCGCCCCGCTCGCTCAGAAGCACACCAGTGGCGTGGTGCAGCCAAGGGGCACAGCTCTCGGGCTCAGTCGGCGTTGTGAAGGAGCAATTTGCTCCCGTGCTGCTTTCTGAAAGCGTGTATTCATTCAGAGACTGCAGTCATTATGATTCTGGTTCCGGTTGATGGCGATTTTCCATGACAGTTGTGACACAGCACACCCTTCCGTGAGTGTATCTGCAAGGCAATGAAAACCTGCAGGGAACAAAAGTAAGCCTTTTTCGTGACCACGCAGTCAAAGGTAAACTCGGATGTTAAGAGGAACTTGCCTGTGACGGGCGAGGTGTGACCCAGTCAGTGAGCATGCGCAGGACCTTGCAGTCCAAGCCATACCCAGAAAGCGTTTCAGTGTTTCAGCAGCATCTCTGAGGCAAGCATGGCAAGGTCCCTCCATGAGCGCACCGTGGCGGGAGCACGATTGTCACCCCAAGGCAGCATTGCATGGGACAGTTGTGGGAGCAGTATTCGGGGAGGCGAAAGCAAGCACTGGCAAGCATCTTGCTGCAGACGCTAAGTCCATGACCAAGGACCGTTCACACACACATTCACACAGACACACAGGACTGTGACAAAGACCAGCCGCACGCCAGAGTACACGTGTGGTTATGGCGGGAGTACGATCTTTCGAGAGTTTGACAAAGTACTTTCGAAGAAGCACCGAGGAGCGGAAGAGTCTGGTCCCATTCAGCACTTTGGAGACGGCGAGCGATTTGAAGCTGCAAGGTGGGAGCACCATCTCTTCCCCGAAACACACCAACGAAACACAGCACTGTGGCCGGAGCGTGATTTTGAGTTTGCGGCCTGCACGGGCCGCGACGACAGCAACCTCCACCCTCTCCTAAACGAAGTCTTACTGGTACCACCTTGCCCAGGAATAGGCAGAGCATTGGCAGAGCATTTACGGCGATCCGAAAATGATTCACGTGTTACGACAGCCGTGTTGGAAGGCACAGCTGGCAGCAAACCTTGTGCGGCTTGTGGTGGTCCTTGTGGTGGCCGGGGTACCGTCGACGATGCTTTCCAGGCTGGGGGCCGTCGGAAGGAAATAGAAACCACGGCTCTACGGCTCTGCTCTGGCAGCTGATGGACGGATGTGTCCTCCACTGGAAGTGTTTCCAGCGGGAGCCCAAGAGCAGTGCTCTTGACTCCTGCGAGATTTTTTGGACGAAGCCTCAGGTGCAGCATGTGCGGCAAAGCCGAGCAGGATGCGTGGGTTATGTGGCAGCGGTGAGCTTCGTGCTGTTTTGCTTGTGGGAGGCGCCAGCGGATGGACGAATGCATGCAGTGACACTGCTGCGGAGCAAGGCTTGGTCGATTCCGAAACTCTCAGTTTACTCGTTCGGCCGTAGGGTCAGGGATCGACAGCTTGCAGGTTGGTGCCTTGCTACAGGGAAAGTGACCTCTCAGATGGAATCGTCGGCCGTGCGTGCTGAGCATTCCCTTCAGCTGTTCCAGGTACGTGTGCGCATCGTGCGACGGTGTGGGAAAGAAGGCCTGAGCCTAAGAACTCCGGCTTGGAGCGTCTTGGGAAGCAGACAGGTCACCGGCGAGGTGTGCCAGCGGGAAGAGCAGTGCGCTTCGGCGACCAGGACCACGGGGACCACGGGGACCACGGGCCGCTTCCTGACGCTGGAGGCGCGAAAGGAAAACCATCCGCGGCCTGCGGCGCATGCGGCGCATGCGGCGCATGCGGCGCACTGCCGAGCTGCTGAGCTGAGCTGACAGGAGCTGAAGGATGCAGCCGTGTGGAAGTCGCCGCTGATCTGCACTGTTCATCGCTCATATGGATGTTTTTTGTGGCGCAGCTTTCTCGAACAGGCTGGGAGTGGAAGCCGGCTGCCGTGAGCAGATGCTGAGCGACGACGACTTTGAATCTGCCTTTGGATCCACGAAGGAGCGGCTGAGCGGCTAATGACGGCCAATGGCCAGTCTTTAGGGCCTTTTTCATCCTGACGAATCAGACTACAGCCCCAGATTGGCAGGAGGAGTTCCAGAGACTGCCGGGGTGGAAAAGGACGCAAAAGAAGAAGGAGATGGGTCTCTTCTGAACCCGTACACGCGGACAGGGAGATGCCAAAAAGACGTGTGCTATCGAGTGCTTGCACGATCCATGCCATGCTTCCATGGGGACAGAGGCACTGTTACACTTGCAGTGGCAGGCCATGCAGTCGCGTGAAGGAGAGACCGTGGAGTTCATCAAGCCTGCCCGCAGCCAAACGACTTGCGATCGGTCTGGTGGCATCAGGTGCCTGACAACCAGTAGCCAAGGTGAACATCAACGAGGATCCCTCGATCAACGCTTGGCTTTCGAGGACGGAGGCCGCGGGTTGGTTCGGAGGATCCCTTCTCCCTGCATCTCCCTGCTCTCTCTCTTTTGCTTCTGCGGTCAGAGGCCCACATGCAGAGCTCCCTGGGCGAGCACCTGAACTCCTCGATGAATGAGCCTCCCTGCAGCAACTCTTGGATCTTGGATTTAAGCTCCGGAGAGCGATGTGTGAAAGTTCTGAGGCTGGGAACTCTCTTCACCGCAGACGGAAAGATCAGCGAGGAGGCCACGATGGCCAGCAGCCTAAAAGAGAGCTCTGAGCTCTCTGAAGTGAAGGGATCCAGCTCTCTGGGGCCCCCCTGGGTCGTGCGCTCCGTGCGCTTTCGCTGTCGCCTCGTCGCCTGAGGCTTGGGTCTCCAAGTACCCCTGCCAGGCGCAGGGGGGGGGGGGCCGCTTCCTCTTTCCCTCCCCTCCTCATCCCTCCTCTTCCTCTACATACCCTGCCTCTTCGACTTCCTCTTCCGCCCCAGTGCTTTTCCCTCCCGAAAAGGTGCTGTTGATGGCGATCTTGGCCGACTGGTGTCAGAAGATCGAAGTGGCGCTGAGTGCTGGCGGGGACGTGGAGAAAGTCCTCGCGCGGGCCGTCGAGCAGCTGTCCTTCATGGCAGGGAAGGTCATCACGAACATCAGCAACGACGTTCGCCAGAAGCTTGCGCAGATGATAACCGAGGTGGTTCACCAGCGAGATGTCTCGCGACAGTTGATTCAGGACAAGGTGGCGTCCCCAAAGGACTTCCAGTGGTTGCAGCTGATGAGAATGTATTGGAACCCCAGTGAGCCGCAGATTCTGCAACGCCTTTCGATCTGCATGGCAGATGCCAGCTTCTTCTACGGCTTTGAGTATTTGGGAATTGCCGACAAGCTGGTCCAGACCCCTCTGACAGACCGCTGCTTCCTGACACTGACCCAAGCACTGCACATGCGCCTGGGTGCCAACCCGTTTGGCCCGGCGGGCACCGGTAAGACGGAGTCGGTAAAGGCGCTGGGGAACACCATGGGAAGGTTCGTTTTGGTCTTTTGCTGCGACGAGGGCTTCGACTTCCAGGCCATGGGCCGAATCTTCGTTGGCTTGTGCCAAGTGGGCGCCTGGGGCTGCTTCGACGAGTTCAACCGACTTGAGGAAAGGATTCTTTCGGCGGTCTCTGAGCAGGTTCTAACCATACAGACTGGGAACAAACAGAACAAGAAGGAGATCGAGATCCTTGGGAAGCAGGCCCGAGCCAGAGCAGTTGCGAAGCTCCGTGGCAAGGTCTCTTTTAGCCGAGTGCCGAGTGCAGGTGCGGTTGAACTCCAACGTGGGCATCTTCGTAACCATGAATCCCGGCTATGCCGGGCGCTCCAACCTGCCAGACAACCTGAAGCAGCTCTTCCGGGCCATGGCCATGCGCCGTCCTCACTTGCACGTGCGCGCTGTCTGCACGCTCAATCTCCTTTGAGTCTTCTTTGCCGACTTTCCGCTGAGGACCACGCCCAACAAGACTCTCATCGCCCAGGTGAACCTGTACAACCAAGGCTTCATCAGTGCCGAGAAGCTGGCCAGCAAGGCTTTCCGTGCTGGCGTCTAGAGGGGCAGAATATTTTGGTGTGACCTCTGTGTGAAGTCAGGTGGTCTTCCTTTTCGACCTCTGCAAGGATCAGCTCTCATCGCAGCCGCACTACGACTTTGGACTGCGCTCTCTGAAGGCATCGTTGCACGTTGTCCCACACCGTGCTTGGATTGGATGGGTTGCTGGGCGACAGGCCGTGTTGGCCTGCGCCGGCTCCATGAAGCGCGAGGAGGTCACGAACATAGGCCCTGGCCTTGCAACTTGCGCCCCTCGCTCGCGACACTTATATACGCATTGGGCATCTGCCCAACAGGTGCCGAGAAGTTCGGCGAGCTCTCGGAAGACGAGGCAGGGCAAGTCGTGCGCAGCATCGCTGCATCGTTGTTTCGTTGTTTCCAGGTGTCGCAGAGTGAGCAGAAGATTCTACTGCGAGCTATTTTTGATACGCTCGTTCCAAAGCTGGTAGCGCAAGACAAGCCGCTGATGCAAAGCTTGATCTCCGGTGTCTTCCCTGGCGCGGACGTCGGCATCGTGGACAATCAGATCCTTCAGGATGAGCCACGAGCTTAGCTGGCTGGCGCACATGCGCATGTGGCCCCACGTGGCCCAGCGGCGAGTCCCGAGATGTTGTCTGGTTGTCTTGCGGCGTTGCCGAGGATTCGCAGGCTCTGCAAGCTGCGGCACTTTGAGTGCACCGAAAACTTCATGTTGAAGTGCATGGAGCTCTTCCAAATCCAAAGAATCACTCATGGTGTAATGCTGGTGGGCACTGTCGGCACAGGAAAATCCACTGTTTGGCGAACGCTTCTGGATGCCATGGAGAAACTGGATAACATTAAAGGAGATGCCTATGTCGTGGATCCCAAAGCAGTCAGCAAAGAGGAATTGTATGGCAAGCTGGATCCAACGACACTGGAGTGGACTGATGGAGTTTTTACCGACATTCTGCGGCGTATTCTTTCAGGACATCGTGGCGAGAACCAGCGGCGACAATGGATAATGTTTGATGGTGAATCTCGCCATGGAAAAAGCACAGCACATGTGCACTTTCTGAAGTTCACGTACCTTCAACTCTCCGAAGTCTACCAACATGTGTGCGGTGTGACAGACCAGGAACAGTTGCACGCCATGCTGATAATGGATCTTGCGGAGTCTTTCGCACACAGACAAAGAGACGCCTAAGATAAGAGATGCCGATGTAACCCGGCAGACAATCGCTTAGACAAGGTAATGCCTTCAGCTTGCACATGATTGATTAGAGGACACTAAAAACTGCCCCGGAAAGACAAGCCACTGCGGCAGCACGCTAGACTTGAGAAGGTACGGGCATCGAGCCAACATGCCTCCAACACGGTTGTTGCCATCATGTAGCTCCGGAGATATGCTGAGGACGTCGATCCGGAGTGGGCCGAGAACCTGAACTCAGTGCTTGATGACAACAAACTGTTGACACTCCCGAATGGGGAGCGCCTGGCTATTCCACCGAGTCTTATTTGCAGCGTGAGGGAGTCTGTAGGTGAGGCTGCGAGAGTCATTGAAGACCTGACACGAGAGTATTGATTGAAAACCGCGCAAGATTGCAACTTCAACCACGGAAACTGTTGCTCGCTTGCCAACACGTATGAAGCTCAAGGAGTGGGGAGCCTGCGAACCTTTCGTAATAGTGAAAAGGGGAGGTTTGGGGTGCGTCGAAGGCAGTCGGAGGAGGGGGCGCGGGCAGTTCTGGGTCTCGCTTGGACGGCGCTGACAGGAACTCTGTGCTTCAACGAGCTCCCCCACGCTCTCCCCTTTTGTAAACCCGTTACTTGGGTGTCATTCGTTTTGGCATCCAGCGAAGGAATGTTCGGATCATGTTCGAGGTGGATACTCTTAAGTATGCCACGCTGGCCACAGTCAGTCGCTGTGGTATGGTTTGGTTTGCCAACGACGTGGTCACACGAGAGCTCCTTGGTTTGTTTGAGCTTTTCGACGCCAGTCGATGCTTTGAGTTTTGTGCTCCTTGCGCCGGGGCTCTGGAATCCGAGGATGCTCTGCAGCCACGAGCTGAAATCGATCAAGAGCCCTGGCCGCTTCATGAAGACTCCTGCACTCGGGGGAGCGCGTGCCCTAGCCTCCGAGTCCTCGCTTTTCTAGGCATGGCAACCTCGAGTCCGAGAGCCAGAAGAAAGACGACGGAGCTCACGAAGGCGCGGGCCGCGGCGGTTCTATTTGGCCCCTCCTTGCCGCCCCTGCTCAGAGAGTCTCGCGTCGAGGACTTCCCAAGGAGCAGAGGACGAAGGTGAAATGCATCGAAGCCTTGGAGCCTTTGTTCGAGAAAGGCTCTCTCGTGCTCTCCGCCCTGCAGCCGCCCGGTTCCAAAAATGCCGTGACAAAAGCGTAGGGAAAAAGCGGTCATATCAGCACATCGGCATCGGATCCGATCTGAGGCTTGCTTTTGAGATGGATCACATCATGACTTTTACTGCCATCAGGGCCTTGACTGGCTTGCAGCTTGGCTCTGGCACGGCCCCACGGTTCGCCTGGAATCTCCGGTCACAAGGAACAGCCGAGGTTTTCCATGGTCCGCAAGGGCATCAACATGATTCTGGAGTACGATGAAGTTCATGAAGAGTTCCCGTTGGCAGATGATGTATTACAATCCTTCATGCGCAAATACCTGGTCTTTGCTATTTGCTGGTCGTTTGGAGGCGACATGATCCTTGGCAGCAAAGAAGCTGTTGGTGATGCTGTCCTGGGGAAGGGGTGGTATTGGCCGTGACAATAGAATAGTGAGTCGGCAAGGCTATCTGGTGTTTTGCGATCAAGCCGTAAGGGCAAATCATCTAGAGGATTGCGCATAGCGCCGTACGTGCACGCCTCGGATTTGTGCACCTAGGACGAACAGAAGCAGCACAGTAACGGCAGTTCGATGCTTTCGGTACGTTTAGGTCGTCGGGTGTTTGCCGTAACGGGAACAGGTTGTCCGTAACCGGAACTCCTGTAACCAGCCCAACGACAGTAACCAGAACCACCTGGTTCCCATAGCGCGTTGAGAGCCGCAGCTGCTAACAGGAGCCAAGTCCTGCGGACCCTTCGGTCCGATCCTGACTGTTGTGTCGGCTCCTAAACTCAGGGACTGCTTTTCGGTCCACGAGTTCCCAGCATGTCTCCCACTCAATCTTGTCGAAAGCTGGACGTTCCACCAACTGTTCGGCTGCCATGACCTTTTCAATTTCCTAGTGTCTTTTGCCTTGCTTTGTGGCAAGAAGTAACAGATGCTGAGTCTAACGGGCAAGCATAAGATCATAATGTATAGTCTCCGTGGCGATGTTGAGCCTTGGGTGGGAATGCCAGAGCTGGACAGTAAATCAGAGTTGTGCTAAGCCTTCCTCTGATCCCAATTACCTGCTATTTCAAAGAGGAGGGAATTCACAGTAATCTGAACCCCAGCTAACCTCATTACCTCGTCAGGGTTTATCCGGATTAGGGTTCAGGGTTTAGGGCAGGGTTTGAGGGACTTCACTTTCCTGACAAGCAAACATGCACACACATGAAAACAAATGGGTTGTAAGGAGTTCAGTCGTTCACGCATCACTTTGAACCTATGAAACTACAGCAAATCTACATGCTCCGGCGACTTTCTGTCCCAACGCATCGATGTATCTTTATTTCAGTCTTCTCTACTTGTACTTCAGGCCTGCCCGTGAGGGACCGGTTGTCGGTCCTCGATTTTACGAGCATAACAGCCTCCTGCCCGGCCTTGCTGGTTTCGGTTGGCAGTTCCTGTGCCGGTGGTGTTCCTGTAACGCCGGCAAACGGGTTTCTGTTTCCACGGCCGCCGGTTTCAGTTACAATGTCCGGGAACGGTTTCCGTTACTCCCAAGAGCGGTTCCCGTTATTCCCCCGCACCCTTAAGTCGTCGTGGGAATCAGGTTTCTCAACACACGCATGAAGTTCTGCGAGATGTTGGCGGGGCATCTGGGGGACATTCCGGCTCCGGACGGCCTTGGCGGCGACACCACATTGCTCGACTTCGAGGTCCGCGTCGAGGATGGGCAATGGTACCACTGGGACAAGAGGGTGCCGACTTTGGACATTGATCCCGAGAAAGTGGCCGACAGCAGCTTGATCATCTCGACGGTCGACACTGTGCGACATACCTCCACTCTTGCAGCCTGGCTGGAGGAGCGGAAGCCCTTCATTTTGAGTGGCCCTCCCGGCAGCGGCAAGACAATGACATTAATGTCGACCATGAAGGCCATGGCAGGCAGTCTGGAGCTTGCATCCTTGAACTTCTCGGCGGGTACGACTCCCGAGCTTTTGCTGAAGACCTTCGACCTGTACTGTGAGACCGTGAAGACCCCGAACGGCCTCGTAATGCGTCCTCTGCAGTTGAATCGCTGGGTCGTGGTCTTCTGTGATGAGTGCAACCTTCCAGAACAGGACAAGTATGGTACACAGAAGGTGATCATGTTCATCCGCCAGATCACCGAAGCTGGGGGCTTCTATCGGCCGAGTGACAAGCAGTGGGTCAACGTGGAGCGCGTTCAGTTTCTTGGAGCTTGCAACCCTCCGACGGATCCGGGTCGCCATCCCATGTCTGACCGCTTCCTAAGACACGCTCCTGTGATCTGGGTGGACTACCCCGGGCCGGACTCCCTGCGCCAGATCTATGGCACCTTCAATCGTGCCATGCTGAAGCTGCAACCGCAGCTCGACAAGAGTTGCTCCGAGGGCATGACGAACACAATGGTGCAATTCTGGCGGGAAAGCGCGCAGAAGTTCACGTCCGACCAGCAGCCCCACTATCTCTACTCTCCACGTGAGCTCACTCGTTGGAAGACAGCTCTTTATGAGTGCATGCGATACTGGGATGGCATGACTCAGACAAATCTTATCCGTCTCTTGGTGCACGAAGCTCTTGGCCAGCATCGAGCATAAGTTTTGCGTAGTATCAACGGTTGTCGTCACTGAGTTTCGCGTATTATGTGCATGCCAGATTGTCAACAGAGGGTTAGTGACACCTCGCAGGGTCTGCGGATCTTTGTGGACCGTTTGGTGCATGAGGAGGAGCGAGATTGGATCCTCGGCTGAACCGAATCTGCATCAATAGTCTGCCATGTCACATGTCTGAACAGAGCTGCACAAAGGAGCGAGGAGCTGCTGGACGAGGCCGGCAGTGATACGCAGTGGCATGCCTTCCAAGTTCACACTGTTTCAGGTTGTGCAGAGAGAGTGGCTGAACTGCAAGTTGGGAAGGTGGTTGCCATGCCATCAGCTGTCATTCGCTTTTCAGCGAGAGCGTCCCGACACCGCGCGTATGCCTGCGTCGAAGTGCTAAAGCTTTGTGCAAGGTTTGGTTGTAGCGCCGACGTGCTCCAGCGTCCAATTCTATTCAGCTGCTGCTTGGTTGTGTGAAGTTTGTTTTCGAGCTGTATAGTGGCAGATGCAGGGTGACAACTGGTAAGCACGGTGATGATAGACAGCTGAGCATCAAGGGCAAACAGGTCGGGAGTGTGAAGGTCTCGTGCGATGCCAGGTTACCTGGATGAGCAGCACCGTTATCGCGATGAGACGAGAGAAAACCTGCGAGAGTTCGTGCGGCTTGGATATGGATACCGGGCCCAGATTCATCTGTCGAAAAGCATGCTTTGCTAGGAAGGGCAAGCTCAGCATCTTCTATGAGGAGGAGCTGGACGTGTCATCCTCAGGCTTGGCAAGCGCGCAAGGGCAGTGACGCCGTGCAGTCTACATCTCAGGTGCGCCTGGTTATCTTCGATTCTGTGCTGGACCACATCGTTCGCATGGACCGGGTCCTGAGGCACGGTCTGCGGCACAGTGCCCACCTGAAGCGAAAGGGCTACGGCGGCTACAGTATGGTATCATTTGTGTTTGGCGAAGGCAGCCCCTTGGGCACCTCCTGCTCGTGGGGGCATCGGGTGCTGGCAAGACGGCCACCTGCTGAAATACGATGGGCCGGCGGACGGTGTGTCCAGTGTGTTAGGAGCTACTTAGAAGGTCTCTCGATGCAGACCGCCTTTTGCACGGCCAGAAGACGAGCACGGAAGCTAGAACAAGCAATCAGGATTTTTCAAAACATCTCCTTCCTTCAGAACCAAGCTGCTAAAGTTGTTCTCGAATCCACATGGCCAAACGATTCTTCGGCTCGACATGGCAGTGCAGGTGACGAGGTGCCCCGGGGCAAAACCCGAAATCTAAGTTTGTCTAGTTTATCTTGGTGTGTCTTCCTGTTTCCAGGGGGTTGGTTCACGGTGTAGAGTGGTTGTTTTGGGCCCCAGCAGCTGGGGGGCTCTGTTGTGTTTCTGGGATACTCTTTCCAAAGCCATAAGTCGCCAACAGCTGACCCAGGCATTTAAGTTATTAGTTGTGTTAGTGGTTCATGCTTTTCACGCAGACCTTGAGAAGGGAGAGACTTTCCGTACATGGTTCCTTTGGCTCCTAAGATGCTGCTCGCAAGCTGACCCCTAAGAAGTTCTTCTGAGTCACTTATTTCCCAATGCCGACTTGATAGCGGAGGCCGTCAGGTTTTGAAGAGTCTCTGTGAAAGAGCAGTTTAGACTGCAGGCACAGGCTTGCAGCACAGTTCACCGAGGTTCTCTCCAAGTTTGTCTCCTGGCTGAATGGGCTGAGCGTGTACACCTTGAAGATCGGGCGGAACTACGACGTCCTCGCCTTCGAGGCTGACGTGCGCGTGGTCATGAAGCGCAGCTCAGCAGCGAAATGGGCTTGATGCCTAGGCGCCTGGGTACAAGAGCCGTATTTGTACAAGTCGAGGTGCTGGCGTGAAGGGCGAGAAGATCACCTTCATCTTCGACGAGTCCAACGCGGGCAGCTGAGGAAACGAAGAAGACTGAGCCTTTCAAACCCACAGCCCCACATGTAACTGTAGCCGATCCTAAGCGAAACAAGGCCTTGGGTCCGGCGTTCATTGAGAGGATGAACGCGCTCCTGGCCTCGGGGGAAGTGCCGGGACTCTTCGAGGGCGACGAGTACACGGCGCTCATCCACGAGCCTTTGCCTTTTTCTAGGACCTAAGCTCGTGGTGGCTCGCTCCGGCATACCTGTGGCAAGGAATGCCGTGGCGCAAACATCCAGGGTGTCGATGATGCAGAAATCTTCGCACGTTTCACGAAGCAAGTCCAGCGCAACCTGCACATCGTCTTCACGATGTATCTTGTCTGGGCAAGCACAGGTCTCTGTCTGGGATCTGGTTACGAAATGGAACGGCTAAGCGTGAATACTTAGTCTCTTCCCCTTCTGTTTGTGGCTTCACGAGCTGCCAGTGCCAACCTCGTCATCAGAAACAGGTGAGCCAGGGCAATGTAGGGATCAAAGTAGACTTACTGGCCACCCCTGAAGACCCGGATCTTGCCTTCTGAAACTACGAGACATGTGTAAATACCTGTCGCGAATGCGCGTGCACACACGCACACGCACGCACGCAACCAACACAGCCAGCCAGCCAGCCAGCTAGCCAGCCAGCCAGCCAGCCAGCTAGCCAGGCAGGCCGGCGGGCGGGCAGGCAGGCACGCAGGCAGGCAGGCAGGCAGGCAGGCAGGCAGGCAGGCAGGCAGACAGACAGACAGACAGACAGACAGACAGACACACACACACACACACAGACACAAACACGAACGCACACACAGACACACACTTGGAAAGATGCGCGCACACACAGCCACGGACGGACACACACAGACACACAGACACACAGACACACAGACACACAGACACACAGACACACAGACACACAGACACACAGACGCACAGACACACAGACACACAGACACACAGACACACAGACGCACAGACGCACAGACACACAGACACACAGACACACAGACACACAGACACACAGACACACAGACACACAGACACAGAGACACAG